CAATTAATAATGTCATTAATACCGGAAATTCTGCAACCCTAGCCTAGTTAATGATATCCATAGTGTTTTGCAATATATACAGGTGCATTGTCATCATGTCACCATTAGTGCTCACTAACCTTGTGATAGCAACATGGAATAGGAATCAATAAAATAAGCTCAGTTTATGAATCTATCGATACACCTAATTTAAGTAGTAAGCCTTGAAGGACACGGGAAAGCTTGGAAACTTGATTAGCAAATATGAACAATCCACTCTGAATGGGGTGAGTTGCTGATTATCCTGTCTTTTGACAGATATCATCAGACACATTCAGGCAGAGTCAAATCGTAAAAGCCTCCGATTCTTTGAAGCAAAATTAGCTTTCGATATTACTCACATTTTTGTGATTAAGATGTTTCATTCAACTGCTTTGTATTTTGAGCCTTACTTTACGGGTTGTAGTGGCCTAGCTTGAGGTTATGCTCTTGTCATCAAGCTTTCATGATGCGAACTTTCGTAAATCTGGCTGTGTTCACTATCTTAGAGGTTTTGAAACCACTAATACGGAGGATAGCAATTACTTTGGTATGAAAGGCTGCTAATGTGGACCATTACATTTTGAAGGAAAAGTAGTGAAGTTGCCAATGCGATTGATATATCGCTTTTAGTTGATTGTCCCTAGTAGATTCCAAGATTACTAGGACTCAATTTCTACATCATTTTCTTTAAGGTATAGATTTCTAGGATTCTAATAATGAAGGTAGGTCACGCTTGAAATTACTGCCAACTTGATAGCATAAGTGCCAGAATATGCTTTAAAATTGGTTGCAGTTGTTAAGATCTTGTTGAACCGAGTCAAAAAAGTACGCTCTGTTTCCAGATCTACTGATATAATCAATTATGGAATCTGGGCTTAGAGGGACACGGGAAACCCTGACAACTTTATCAGCAAACATAAACATTCTTCAGTGAGCTGGGTGTAGTGCTACACTGTGTAAAACAGGCTTAATATTATGCAGTATGTTTATAATTTATTTATAGAGCTTTTGAGAAATTGGACTGATATAGCTCCTACTAGCCGATCCCCTTATGCATTACTAATGTTGGTAGGACCAGCGAACAGCATTCTGATTATCAATACAATATCGGTTTCATAACTTCTATGCAAAAAAAGTTGGATTTCGAGTAATCTATTGTATCATCATTGTTGAGCTTACTTCAATTTCAAGTGAAAGTGTTTGGTGAAGAGATTCGAAGGTCGATTCACTGGAATCGAAGGAGATTACCTCGGAAACAGTTTCAACATAAATGCTCCAGTAAAGCCAATCAATAGCTTATTAAGAGGAATCCGCCATCATCTTCTGGTGGAATCCACATTTATAACTTCTCTTGCTCTATCACTATCAAATATTTAGGTTCTTCTATATTTGTAGCTGAATCGAGTGTTGGAGAGGCGAAATCATGTCACTGCTTGATGCTATACACTAGTGGCTTGAATTGAGAAACGTTACCGTGTGACTCATTATGGCACTAAAATAGCATAAATTGCAAGTCAGTTAGATTAGAAGCCCGAAGCAATGCATTTAGTGAACCCTCATTTATAACTGGGTTCTCTCTAGACTGACGTTTCCTCTAAACGTATCCATTCTTCCGCATTTGGCTTCCAATATGGGAAGTGCATATTTGCATATCGATGTGAAAGAATTGTGTAAATCTTTAGCTTTAAAGCTTAAAATAAAAGACTATGTGATGAATAGACGAGACACTTGGTATAGGTTTGGGTCTAGTGGACCAGAAAATGAGATAGTATTTGGTTTCACTTCTTGCTCATAAAGTTATTGGAAATTCGTCATCTCTCATAAATAATATTTTCGTGCAGATAATAGTATACTATGAGTGCACTCATAAAAAGAGCCATTGCAATTTAGGAATGATCAAAGACTTAATGAAAAGACGGATTTTAAGCTATGCTAACTATTACTATAAAATTCCATTTTAAAATGTAGAAATATTTGCAAATACATCCTTTAAAATCTACCCCTTTGCAATTTTGGCCAGGGAATAAGGGTACTTTAAATTATCTATGAGTCATTTGTAAGAATCCCCCAAGCGTTAAGTACACATGCAGTTATTTTTTGCACATTACCTACCATATCAACATTTAAGGTTACATTTGATTTGATCTTACATGAGAAGACTATTCTTTTAGGCAAAAGCACTATATTTTCGAGATTGCTTTAACGAGCGAAACAATGGCTAAATATATTTGGCTCAAACA